CCCAGGAAGCTGGGGGCAGAGCAATTCTGCCTCCAGCTTCCTGTAGTCAGCCCCTGGTCAGTTTCAGCAGCAGCGGCTGACTCTGGAGCCAATTCCAACTTACATACAGATTCAACTTAAGAACAAACCTATAGTCCCTATCTTGTACGTAACCCGGGGACTGCCTGTACTGTAAATTTACTTGCGCAAGAACGCTCGTGCAGTGTAGACAGCAGGCAAGTTTTTGCACAAGAACGGCTGTTCTTGAGCAAAAAGCTGCCGAGGGAGGGAGGGAGGGGGGGAGAGAGAGAGAGAGAGAGAGAGTGTGTTTTCAGGTTTTGTCTTTCCCACTCACATATTCATTCCAAGAGTAAGCAGGAAATAATTCTACAGGAGCCTTTGTGATTGAAACTAGGTCATTTCAAGTTAAAACAAGCGATGAACATTGTTCACTATGGGCTGGATCAAGGGACAGTGATTAATCCAGCAGGGGTTGATTTCTTGGCTGACCCCACTGCTACCAACTCTGGTAGTCACCAAAACAAGAAGAGTAAGTGGAGTCAAGGGGAGAGTCCGAGCTGTTGACTTACCACAGTAAAGATACTGCAGTAAACAAACTTAAGTATGTCGACCTCAGCCACATTTTTCACGTAGCTGAAGTTACGTAACAGGTCGACAGCCCACGGTAAGGAAGACAAGATCTATGGCATCTAATTCCAGGGCTAGCTCAGTAATGCAGAGGCAGGGATAAAGCCTCCCTGTTTACAGTCCCTCAATGCCTTAGCGAGCTGTGTGTATGATCGTGTATTGTGTGCCTGAGTGTCTGTTGTGTGCCCATGTTTCAGAGTGGGGTGTGCACATTTATTCATGAGGGTAAAGTGTGTATGTGCCTATGGGGAGCATGTATCTGGGAGTTGGCATGTGTGTGGCTCTCAATTCATGGTAGAAGCCTGAGAGAGCTGCTAGTGACTGGCTAGCAGTGAAAGACACGGACTACATTCTCTTCAGCGCCTCTAGGCTATAAGAAGCCCTGTACTCACGATCAGATTGATTATACAGGCTGTAGGCAGCCTGCACTCCAGGTCCGGTTAAGGAGATCTGAGAGGAGAAGTTGACGGTGATTCCAGTGGAGGACACAACAGGAATTCGCTCGGCATAGGCTTGCAGGGTCCGTAGGCCGCACAACCTGATAGAGAAATTCAGTCAGGATATCCCAGTGCTTGGGTAAAAGGGAGGAGGAGGGAATGTAGTTTTTATGGGGGAAAGGGTATTGGGGCAGGAAGTTTCCATGGCATTTGGGAACTGGGGTCTGGTCCATGAGAAAAAGACAAACCCCAGGCCTGGGATAGCAGAGATGGGGAAACACACGTGGGTACTGTAAAGCGGCAATAGAGAAAGTGGGGATGCCCTTGGAAATACAGGGGAGGCCAGGCTTTTTCAGCAGACTGGCCATCTAGCACCATGTGCTGCCCTCCACTGCACCAGCACCTCGCTTCTCAGCTGGAACGGTGACCGGAGGACAGAGCAACTTGAGAAGTGGCTGGTTTTAAAATAGGGGCTAGCCGCAAGTGACCAGAGAAAGGGAAATGTGTGATGAAGCAGCCCTAGAGACTGATAAATAGAGGGAAGGGAAAAGAGATATTTGAAGGGTAGAATGGGGATAATTTGAAATGGAGGCTGCAGCAAACATCATTTCAAGTTAGAGAGACGTGAGCAATGGTTCCGGACCCAACAGCTTTGAGGAGAATATTATGCAGATGAGCCGCAAGTGACCAGAGAAAGGGAAATGTGTGATGAAGCAGCCCTAGAGACTGATAAATAGAGGGAAGGGAAAAGAGATATTTGAAGGGTAGAATGGGGATAATTTGAAATGGAGGCTGCAGCAAACATCATTTCAAGTTAGAGAGACGTGAGCAATGGTTCCGGACCCAACAGCTTTGAGGAGAATATTATGCAGATGGCAATAAAAACTAGACATAGGTAACTGCTGTCATGGGTGTTCTTTGCAAACTGTATTTTACACACAGTTCAAAGGTCCAAATTTCACTCTGTTACCTCAGTATGAATCCAGAATGACTCCACCTACTTGGGAGACATTAATCCCAATTTATCCAGTCTGCACAAGAGCAGAATTTGGGCTGTCTAATCCAGTGCTATTTCTATGCTGGCTTTCCTATAAACTCCTGTCCTAGATGCTTCACGTGGTTAAATAAGAGTTAGACAGGCTGTGCTAGAAAGAAAGGAAAGGAAACGTATGTGTAAGGAAGGGATGTAAGTACAGGGGAAGTTGGTGAAATGAGACATACAAGACAACTATTGCTGATGACAGGAGCTGAGGGAGAATAGACTGACATCCATAGTAGAGAGTCTGAGGTCATTGGATCAACTCCCTGAATCAGGTCCAAAGACAGAAAGGTTACTGAAGTCAGGTGGGCAGCAGACACAAAGTCTGCAAGGTTGGCTGGAAAAGACCCATAGAGGGGTTTACAATAAAAAGGGAAATTTTGAACGGGCCCCTGAAATGAAAGGGAAGCCAGCAGGTGGGATCTGAGGCTGGCAGTGCTTCCTTGTGCATGGGAGAAGGTGGGAATCCACAGCTGGTCCATGATGGCAGCTGGGCTTAGGGAGGCCATAGAAAAGTTTTTACAGAAGGGAGGTTTTCCTAGGTAAAGCAGGAAGAGACAGACTCAGAGGCGGATTTGCGCGGAGGAGGATTTGAGGCAGAGGTGCACACAGACACTACTGCAGAGGTGGTGATAGGCACATTTGCAAACACAGGAGGTGTGGGAGGATGCCAGGGCTGCACACAGAGGGGAGAAACAAGACAGTCTGTTTTAAATAGCAGGAGGAAGAAGGGAAGCTGATAGTGACACAGGAGAGGTTTGAGGATGTTGCTTTGTCCATGAGCAGCATTTCTCTCTCTCAGATGTTTTGCTGAGGGAAGCTAAGGCAAAGCCATATATTTATTTGGTTAAGATAAGCAGAGTTAACAAACAAGGAGGAGTAATTTGATATGGAAAAAGATATGGACAAATAAGTGTCATCAGCACAGTGAACAGCTGTTACCATGAAAGGCAGAAATCAAATGGCTGAGAGGGAGCAAGTAGACAGAAGTTAGAGCTGGCAAAGAATCCTCCTTCAGAACCATGCGCTCAGCTGAACAAAAGCAGGCTGGGGGAGAATTCAAACTCCTGGATAAGTAACCTGGGATTGGGCGTGGAGCATGACAACCCCGCAAGAATGTGAACACACACCTTCTGTTCTGAATAATCCACTGGCCTTGAGTACATGGCAGATCAAAATTCTGTCTCCTCAGTGCATAGGCATCAAACCACAGGACAACGCCATAGTCGAGAGATGGGACCTGCAGAGAGAGCGATCCAAGAGCAGAGCTGAGGGAGCAGCGGCAAGCTATGTTCCCACCCAGCCAAATGGGGCTCAGCATGAAATGGATGGAGTGAACGCAAATGGGACAGCAATGAATTTATAGAGTACCAGCTGGCAAGAGTTAGGCACAGTCTGCACAGGGACCAGGCCTCTGCTCCATATGGCCATTGCCTTAATCCTAAAGTGTGGCACCCTCTGTCAGTCCAGGCCTGCCTCTAAGACCTCTGCCAGCACACCTCAGTCACTGCTTCCAACACGCCCTGCTAGATTACTCGAACGTCCCCCTAAACACCTTCCCCAGTGCACCCCCATCCTGGCTGGCGGTTCCAGTCCTAGATCCTACTCCCAACCCTGCTGCAGTACCTCAGCCCTGACACATAGGACCCCTGCTGTTCCAATCCAGGGGCCTTGCACCCTAGCTGTGCCAAGGCACCTCTCTCCTCAACCCTGCTACTCTCATGCCGGGTCCTGACTGAACTAAGACAGGTGTGAAGAACAGGAGGTGACTGCCCAGTGATTTTATCTGATAGTCGCAATTGCAGGGTGGAGATCTAGGCTGAGCGTGACTGCCCAGTGATTTTATCTGATAGTTGCAAGTGCGGGGTGGAGATCTAGGCTGAGAGCCACAGGAGTCAGGTCACAGGGAACCAAAGCCAGAACTGGAAGCACTGTAGGGCAATGTGTCCCAATCTTTTCCTGACTGGAATCCTCTCACCCCAAACCTTCCTCCCCTATAGGTGGGGACCTAGCAGGGATGCCCTCCCACCATTTAACATTACAGGAAGAGCTTGGTGGCTGTGATCTCATGAATGTCTCTTTGAGACCTCCCCATGCCATGCCAGTCTGACTGCAGAAGGAATTGCCACAGAGCAGTGGTGAGGGGAAAAGGTGCCCTGGAGTTGTGTCCACAGCTACTGCTGTGGCAAGCTTTGGCTGGGAAAAGAGGGGAAGCAAGAGGGACTCACCATCATGTGCCAGGTGCACTGTGTGTTGGGCGAGTAGTAGCTCGGGTAGTGTGGCGTGCTGATCTTCCCCTGCAGGTCCAGGCCTCCCTGCAGCGTTACATTCACCTGGCAGTCTGAAAACACAGACCCCGCCCGCTGTCAGCTGGGCAAAACAGAGGCCCCGGCCCCGGTCTGGGTACATGGGACCCTTAAAAGCTGAAAAGAGAGATGCGCCCCACCCCGAAAGAACAATGGGGGGAGGTGTGGGCCAGGCGTTTTCTAGACCAGTGGTCCCCAACCTTTTGGGGCTGCTGGGCACCTGGGGGCGGGGCTGCACACGCGCCTGGGGGTAGGGCTGCACACGCGCCTGGGGGCAGGGCCACCCATATGCTGTGTGCCCAGTGCCAGTGCCACCCATGCGTTACACTCCCAGGGCTGGCGTCGCTCCTGTGCCACACACCCTAGAGCCGGCATCACCCACGTGCTGCGCACCTGGGGTCAGCAAGTAGTAGCTCGGGTAGTGTGGCGTGCTGATCTTCCCCTGCAGGTCCAGGCCTCCCTGCAGCGTTACATTCACCTGGCAGTCTGAAAACACAGACCCCGCCCGCTGTCAGCTGGGCAAAACAGAGACTCCGCCCCCAGTCTGGATAAATAGGACTCTTACCTGCTGCTGAAAAGAGAGATGCACCCCACCCAGAGAGAACAATGGGGGGAAGTGTGGGCCAGGCATTCTCTAGACACACAGAAAGCTGTCTGCTGTGCTCATCGTCTGACCTGTTCTTTGTGGGACCCACATTGTATTTTCCCAGCTGCGTTTGCTGGGAGCCCCAGAGACATCCCCACTCTGGGGATCTCCTTGGCAGGCAAGAGGGGAAGTCAACGGCAGATGTGGAGGCCTGCTCGCCTCTCTACTTTGCTATGCCAGCTTCCCAGGGCTGCTCTCCTCTCTACTCTGCTATGCCAGCTTCCCACAGTGAGTACTTGTCAGGAAGAGCTGGGAACTGTCAGGTGAAGGACTGTAGTGCAGGAGATACCAAGTGACCAGAGCTAGAGAAAAGGGCAGTGGTGTCAGGTGAAGGACTGTAGTGCAGGAGATGCCAAGAGACCAGAGCCAGAGAAAAGGGCAGTGTGTACAGCACACAAATGAGTAAGTGGCTGAAAAATAGGAAAGCCTGACATGGGAAGGGCTACGCAGGCTGAGCTGTTGTGAGCTAAGCCGGGGCCAGGTCTGGCTTGTGCTAGCTTAGGAGACAGTCAGAGAAGTGTCGACAGCATTGAAGGAAGCAGTTTTGCTGCTCTCCCAGGTGGTACAGGAGACAGTCAGAGAAGTGTCGACAGCACTGAAGGAAGCAGTTTTTCTGTTCTACCAGGTGGTATTCTTCCTTCTGACCCAGTGCCATTGCTCCAGCCTGGCATGAGTGGTTCCGAGATGTGTGAGTGTTGCCTTATGCCTACTGACCTGGAAAAGCCAAGCCTTGATCCTGCTTGTGGTGATTAAAGATCCCTCGGCACTTTATGCAAAATAAGGCTGCTAATAAGGCTGCCAATTGCCAACAGGAGTCTATTCTGCTGACCTAAATTGTCCTGTTGCTTTAGCTGAATGCAGGGTTCCTCACTTCTGTCTATCCCCCTCCTTTCTTGGCTGCCTTCACTGGAGTATCCAAGTGCCTCACAATCTTTAATGAATTCCTATCCCAAGCTCCGGCATGGTGCTCTTGTGTGCCGTGAAACAGCTGCCATGTTCCAGCTCAGGGGAAAGCGTCTTGTGATGGTGGTTGAAAAGTGCCCTGTAGTATATGTGCAGCTAGCTGTCAAGGGATCTGAACCGTGTCAGCTCTCTGAGCTCCTTGCTTCTTCAGCCTTCCTCACCTTCAGAGGGCACAGCCTGGGCGGTGAGGATGAAAGGGTCGTAGTAGCTATACATCGCTTTCTTCCATACCACGGACATGACGGGGCCCGAAGAAAGGACTTCCACCATGGGCTCCTGACGGCTGCAGCCATAGAATCTAAGTGGAAAGCGACAGCAGGAAATGCGAAGGCGGATGGAAACCAGGAGAGTGAAGTGATAGTAAAGAGAGGGGAAAGAAGGGATAACGTTATTCAGATAACGGGGAAGCAAAGGGGGCAGCTGCTCCCAGACCCTCTGAATTGCTGCCGGAGCCCCAAGCAGCATGTTCTGGGTGGGGTGAATGGATGGTAGGGGGAAGGGAAAGCAACCAGCCCCCCCCTTCCAGGACCATGGAGCTGGGCTCCTCCCCACCTTGTCTTGGGGCTTGACAAGTCTGTGGTCCCTCCTGCATCTGACAAAGTGCGTTCCAGCTGAAGAAAGCTTGTGCCTAAATAAACATGCTAGTCTTTAAGGTATTGCAGGACTCCTCATTGTTTTAACTCCAGTATGTGGCTAGATGCTAAGGCCCAGATCTTCAAAGGTGTTTAGGCTCCTAACTTTCATCAAAATCAATGGAAATGAGGAGCTTAAATACCTTTGCTGCTCTCATTCTCATAAACTAAATCACAGTATAGCATGGAGAAAAGGTCTCAGATCAGGATGAGGAAGCATCTCCCTCTCCCCGGTTAGAACATTCTTCTTGTCTCAAGCCAGACCATTTTCATGAGGACTCTGAGACCAAGGAGTCCCCCACATCTATTAGGGTAATTTTAGACCCTTCCTGTATCCCCTGTTCTCCTGCTCACCTTAATATGTGCTAGACCCGATTCCTAGAGAATCTGAGAACCAGCTCTTCAGTTGGTGTAAAATCAGCAGAGTTGCACTGAAGCCAGTACAACTGTACCGATTTACACTTGCTAAGGATCAGTCCAAGGATCCTCTTATAAGGTTCCTGACCCTAAGATCTGGGCTGCCCTGAGGAGGACTCCCATACCAAGCGATGTTCTCATGGAGCTCCTTGGTCTCTGAAGCACAAGCCTTTGTACTCCCATCCCTGCCCCTGCCGAGTTGCTGTTCTTAATCATCCAAACCCTTGGACTATTGCAGTTTTGTAAGTAGCAAGAGCTGACTGGCCTTCCTCCTAGCACTCACTGTGTCTGATATCGCTATCATATGAAAGCTACCTACGAGGTGATAAGATGGTTCTCCAATGGCCCAGCTGCATCATACATAGCCAGCCGGTCCCTGCACTCTGGGAGGGTCCACTCCAGCCGTAGCTTGATCATGTGACCTTTGGGACCACGGAGGTGCCAAAGACAACTGGAGGCCAAGTAGTCAGGGCCCTTCAGCCTGAGGACTTCCTCTTCCCTGATGAGGCTGTACCTGTAGCAACCTGAATCCATGAGACAAACAAGCTTGTTTGGGACAGGATTTAGCAACAAGAGCTCCTGTAGTCTATCAATACAAGCCTCTATTACAGAGTTGGGCTCTGTGTTAGCCCAGTTTCTTTCAGGGGTCCCAGTTTATTTTCACATTTCCCCCTAGTTCCTCCCTGTGACACCAGTCCCCTCTCACTAGCTAACGCCGTGCTAATTATTGTCTTCTTCTAAGCAGATTCTCCCTCTCCTTTTTCTTTTCTGTTTGCCCCGTTTTCCTTGTTCCTGGCCCCATCCTCCACTTATTGTGAATTCCATTTACAGTCCATGTGGCCTGTTCTCCTACTGACACTACTAGCTCTCCTTGGGTTGGCAGCTCTGAAATGGGGTGTGTAAGTGAAGAGAAGGGTGAGTTTCCAAATGCACACATCATAATCACATGCACATGCAGTGCCTGAGCGCACATGTAAAGCTATTAGCTAGAGCTTTTGTTACACCTATGTGACTTGGGCCCCGTTCCTCAATGATATCTCAGTGCCTAACTGCCATTGAAATCCAAACTTAACCCTGCTGAGGATCTGGAAGTCAATGGGACTTAGGCTGCTCAGTCACGGTGGTGCTTTTGAAAATGTTGTTCTTTGTGTGCAGCATCTGTGCTTCTTGGATACAATTTTCTTGCCTTCATTTTCCTGAATCTCACATCTCAGGGCAAGAAACTGTAATTCTGGCCCCTCAGCAGGTTCCCTGCTCCCAAATAAAATGAACTAAAAAAGAAAGGGAGAGTGTATCCTACCCAGAGTCGATTTCAGCACTACTATGTCTTTCACACTGGATTCTGTTAGAAAGAAAATAAACAAAAGAAACAAAAACATAAGCCTCTGTAATACCCAAAATCTAAGCTGTGGGATGCACCCCTCTCCTTTCTGTGCTTAACAGCCTCCTTCTGACACCCATTGAGTGCTTTGTGGGGTGCCTTTGTTCCTTACTAAGCCTGTTATCAAGATCTACCTTACTCATCTTATCGTCTGTCCTTGTCCAATCTACCATGGGCTCTGTCCCTCTTAGTCTCAGCCTGCCATGGGTCTCTCACCTCCTTTGCTTGTCCATCATCTGGTATTCTCCCAGGCATATTCGCTGCTTCCCACACAAGTAAGTTGTTAACCTAGGCTGCCATTCCTTAGCTATGCCTCAGGGAGCCTTAGGCCCTTCCCCTCTTACCCACGCTCACTGTCAAGCACTAGTAGGCTAGGGAACTGCTTTGCTTCTCACACCTCCCAGGCTCTACCCTGCCTCCCTTCCTGTGTTTCCACCCACTTGCCTTCTCTCTTGCTCTAGAAGGAAAGAACAAGGCAGTGGACAGGGCTGACCTTAGGCTCTATGGGGCCCTACGCAGACCTATTAAACTGGTGCCCATATGCCCAATGGCAGCTGGGGAGAGGGGCGATTTTTTAGAGATGTGACTTGATAATCTTCAGCAACCCACTAATGAAATATTTTTAATGCAAATTTTATCCCTTATTTCAAGGGATAGGCTTTTTTGCTTTTAAGTTAACTAGCTCCTCTCCAGAGGAAGCACAGCCACAGAACAGAAGTAAGAAGAGGCATGGGTAGACATAAGATCCAGAGGCGCCCTAAATTTTTGGATGCCCCCTATAACTGCATACTCTAAGGCTGTCCCGGGAAGTGGGGGTAGAAGAAGCCAAATCTCAAAGGGATTAGGTGCTTCTCAATCAGGGCCTGAACCAATGGCCCTTGAAAGCAATGGGATTCTTTCCATTAACCTGAATGGGCCCTGCATCTGCCAAAGAGGGTTGTGAATGGAAAGAAACCAACTGAAAATGTGAGAACAATAGAGAGGATTGATACAAGTGATCACAAGCCATGTGAGTTTGGCACCATGAACACTAGAGTAACAGAATACTGCAGCCCAAAGGGAATCTTTAGCAAGATCACCAGTTATGGGGAATTAAGAAATCTGGGGCCCTCTTCTTCCTGTTGGAATAATTCCATTGAAAAACAGTGGGGCTACGTGTACACTGGCGCGTTCTCAAGCAAAAACTCTTTTGCGGAAGAGTTCTTGTGCAAAAACTCTTCCAGAAGAGAGCGTCTACACTGGCATGTGCTTTTGCGCAAGAGCATCCATGCCAGTGTAGACGCTCTCTTGCGCAAGAAAGCTCTGATGGCCATTTTAACCATAGGGCTTTCTTGCGCAAGAAATTCATGTTGCCTGCTACACTGGCCTCTTCTGGAAGAGATTTTGTGCAAGGGGGCTTGTTCCTGAGTGGGAGCGTCAAGTTCTGGCACAAGAAGCCCTGATTTTATACATTAGAACGTCAGTTTACTTGCGCAAGAACATGCGGCCAGTGTAGACAGGCAGCAAGTTTTTGCGCAAGAGCTGCTGCTTTTGGGTGAGATCGCGCCAGTGTAGACACAGCCTGGGAGTTTCTTGTAGTCTCTGAGAGACAGGGGTGGAAAGAGAACAAAGCCCTCCCACTTCCACTGAGAGATGCCCAATACTGGAATATTGACCTGCTCTTTTGCAGAAAAACTTGCCAGCTGTCTACACTGGCCGCTTGAATTTCCGCAAGAACACTGACTTCCTACTGTCTGAAATCAGTGCTTCTTGCAGAAATACTATGCTGCTTCCGTTCGGGCAAAAGTCCTTTTGCGCAAAAGGGCCAGTGTATAAATAAATTAATGGAGATTGCCTATCTCCTAGAACTGGAAGGGACCTTGAAAGGCCAGTCCCCTGCCTTCACAGCAGGACCAAGTACCATCCCTGACAAATATTTGCCCCAAATGGTCTCCGCAAGCATTGAACTCACAACCCTGGGCTTAGCAGGCTAATGCTCAAACCACTGAGCTATCCCTCAGACAGAAATAGCGCCGCAAGCATTGAACTCACAACCCTGGGTTTAGCAGGCTAATGCTCAAACCACTGAGCTATCCCTCAGACAGCTCAGATTTCTTTTGTTCAAAAAAGCCCCGATTGTGAAAATGGCGATCAGGGCTTTTTTGCGCAAAAGCACATCTAGATTGGCACCGATGTTTTTCCGCAAAAAGTGCTTTTGCAGAAAAGCGTCCGTGTCAATCTAGATGCTCTTTTCCGAAAATGCTTTTAACAGAAAACTTTTCCGTTAAAAGCATTTGCGGAAAATCATGCCAGTCTAGACGTAGCCTAGGTGCCTTTACAAAGGAATACAAAGAGAAGACAATCCACAACCCTGTTTAAAAATAGTGTCATAGGGTAGTTGGCCTGTTTAGAGGAGCTGGATCCACCTGTGACTTATCAAGCTTTCTCCCAGCTGACCCTGAGAGGCAGCAATCAGCTGATAGCTTGTAAATCACCTGGTCCTCATATAGGCCAGCAGCAAGAGTTCTGTTGAGTGGAGGGCTGCTGGGGTGGAAAGACAGTAGTTTCAGAAGTTGTGAGGGCAGGGAAGAGAGACTAGATTATATACAGTTCCTAGGCAGATGGCCTGCTGAGGGTAATCCTATAGATACTAGATAGGCTTCTACAGAAGACTTAGAGTTCAGGAAGGGACATGATTGATACTTCAAACCTGTGTTTATTGTGTCTGGAATCCTGTGGCTGGAGACAGTTTGCAGGATTACAAATATCTATTAGTAAAAAAGTGAGGGGAAACTTGGATGAGCGGGCCACATACAAAACAGTGAGTTGATAAAATAGGCACCTTATGATAGAGTCAGCTAACAAATTTAGTCAGAGTTTTCACATAGGAGCATTTGGATGAGGATTTTAAAACACTTTACTGCTGTCAGTTACTTAAGCCTCAACAAGCTCTGAGACTGGAAAGTGTAAAGGAATTGTTAACTAACTTTTATTTCCATTTTAGAGACAAGTAAATAAAGACATAAATTTAGTGATTTGCTTTTAAAGCAGTGTATACCCCACAGACAGAATTCTGGGGTTCTGATTTTTGGCCCTGCTCTAAGCTCTAAACACACTTCTTCCCAAACTATCAAATCTTACTCAACAACAGATATTTAGTTTTGACATGTCATGGAGTCAGGGAAACCCCAATATGACTATGGCAATTAGAATTTAGCAAATCTAACTTTAGACACTGATAAAATAATGAACAAATGTGAAGGGAATGAGAGGAGAAAACTGGAAACCTTTAGAAGATAATGGTACTGACAAATTTGATTGCTTTTTTTATAGAATTACTAAATTAGTGGAAAAAGGGAAAGCAGAAGATGCAATGTAGCTTGATTTTTAGTGAATCATTAGGCCTGTATTTAATGAAATCTTGATTTAAATTGACTTAAATGTGAGCACTGTCACATACAAAACACCAGACACTGATATGCTACAAATAAAAGATAATTCTAAATGGCAATTTATTAAACTGAGAGATGTGTTCAGTGGGCTGTTAGGTTTGGTCTTATTTAATATCTTCATTAATGATCCAGAAGAAGGCATAAAAAAACATTTTAATGGCATTCATGAATACTAAATTTTAAAAAACCAGTTATGAGAACAGAGGAAAAAAAACTCTGTGAAGTTAGAAATAAGGTAGGGAAATACTGAAATTAGATTTATCTGGGAAAAATGCAAGATAATGTATTTAGAGGGAAATGATTGGAAACATGTTATTTAATGAGAAACTTTGAAATTGGCAATAGTGAAGGAGGCCCCAGGAATAGCAATGATAGCAAATTAGAGATGAATTTTTTAGGGCAGAATTAAAAAACAACAACAAATACATACAGATCCTTTGGGCTCTATACAAAGAGGCCTCACATCACAGAGCAAGGAGGGAACAATCACAATATGGGCTTGATCCAAATCTTGGTGCCATCAATGGTATTTTTTTCCAATGATGTAATGAAACTTTGGATGAAGGCCTATAAAAGACCTGAAGTTCTGAGGACCTCAATCTCAGGACACTCCAATAGGCTGTAGTGTTGCCAGCCCTCACTGGACTGATCTGGAGTCTCTGGGATTTAAAGATTGTCATGTGATTAAATCTCCAGGCAAATATCCAACCAAAACTGGCAACACTAGCAGGCCATGATCTCTGTTTTGTGTACTGGAAAAAAGTCTTGAAGTCAATCCAGGGAATTGAAATGACAGAAATATTACAAGCATCGTGAAATAGGAAACAACTGTAATTGAAATATATTGCATTCTGTTCTCAGTCTATCAGAGTGGGATAATCTCCTAGGGGATGTCCCAGTTGCTTGGGACATTTTAAAATGAACCGAGAAAAGCAACAAAGCATATAATGTGGGGAACAATTGTGTTTGCCAAAGCTGAAGGAGGAGGCAGAGGAAACGATCAGATGGCTCCTAGTCAGTCACTATCAACTCTTACTCCACGAGTCTATAATTCTTTAGGGGAATAATCAAACTTCCTGGAAAGTGTCCTGTACAAAGAGGAAACACTTTGTAATCCCCCTGTCCCGTCTCCTGTCTCTCTCTCTAGTATCCACTTTCCCATTCCTCTCTTCTTCTCTCATCCCCCTTTTTCTCTCTACCTGTCTTTAACTCAGTCCTCTCCTCCTTCCCCTTCAGTAATGTAATTTGGCCTATCCTCTCAGGCCAGGTCTACACTGGACCTGGAAGGCTGGCTTACGGTACGCAACTCCAGCTATGCAAAATGAGCCTTAAGCTGAGCCATGGTGGCGTTCACGCTGCGGGAGACCAACAAGAGCAAACACTCCCATTGGCTTCCCTTACTCCTCACAAAAGGAGGAGTACCAGACACTGGCAGGAGCTGCCCTCAGCATTTTATTTACAGGTCTATACTAGACCCAATGAATAGAACTCTAGAAGATCAAACTCCAGAGCATGGATCTTGTGTTAACTATAGATGTGCCCCCAGACTGCCTGCAGCAATTTGTAGGTCTCAGCCCCTGATCCTGAAAGTTTGGGCCACACCTGGGTGGCTGATACTTACCCAGCAGAATCAGAGAGTCTGGGTCAACCTGGTATTCTGTCTGATAGGATCTGCCAGTACTGTTGGTACTGGTGAGAAGTTCTCCGGAAAGAATCACGTTCACCCTCTCAGCTGTCATCTCCTTATGCTGACTCTCTGGGACTTGAAGGGCGAACCAGAAGAAGAAGGTAAGGGACCCTTCCCTAGCAGGGAGAATGCACATTAATTTCCTTTCATCCTTTTCATTTCAAGTGAGTTCAGTGCGGGTCAGAGTCACCTCACTGAGGGCTGGACCGAGCCATTCCGGCGCCCCGAGCAGACAGTTTAATTGCGCCCAGGGTTGGGGGAGGGCTCATGCGGGGCCCTGCTGCTGCGCCGGCACATGGGGGAGGGCACACGGAGCTGGCAGCGGCAGGATGCACATGCCCGGCACAGCCCAGCCTGGCTACCGCTGCTGGCGCGCAGCCCGGGGCCGCCTGGGAAGGGCCGAGCCTGGCTGTGCAGGGCCCCCTGGCCGCAGGGGAAAGGGCGCTGCTGGCAGGCGCTGCGGGGATTAACGCAACCCCCACCCCAGGCAGCTGCTGCAGGGTGGCCGCTGGGAGCTGCTGCAGCCCGCAATCGGGAGACAGGAGCCCCCTATAGGTTGGCGCCCCAAGCAGCTGCCCAGCTAGCCCATGCCTTAATCCGGCCCTGCGACACCCCGGAGACAGATGCACTCCTCTCTTCGGCCACAGATCAGACACGTAGTGCAAGAATCCCAAAACATGCTGCCCCACCAACGTGCCTCAGCTCTGACCTAGAGTGATCCACCTTTAGTGGAACAGAACAGCCAGTGTGTCCATCATCCATTCAATACCTGGTCGTTCTGCTGAGAGCCATCTTGTGCCACTGGTCATGGTGGTTTTAATTATCTGGAACCTTGCCTTCTAGAAACTAGCCTGAGATCATTAAGCTTTTTTTTTTTTTTTTTAGAAACTAGCCTGAGATCATTAAGCTGTTCTTCAGGTGGAAATTACCTGTGGTCACTGCTGACCCAGATTGAAAATGTTGACCTTTCAGCAGCAGTGAAAGTAACTTAAAATTTCTTACAGGTACAGTCCTATTGCAACCTGCATCCCTGCCAGCTCTTTAAATAGCTCTCTGCTGGCTTTTGCTGCAGCTCAGCCAGCTCTTGCCGGAGCTGCTCACCAGGGCGCGCCTGCTTGCTTTTATCTCTGTCTTTAAGGCTCCATGTTCCAACTTCCAGTAATGAAAAGTGATTAATGCTAAACTCTGTTCAGTTGATCAGAGGGAGCTTCTGTGTAGAGACCACTTATGTATGACAGGCAATCACAGCCACCATAATTTGTCAGCTGAAGGACAGAGAAAATGGACCAACCTGGAGAGCAACTTCTTGCTGGAAATAGGGGGCTTGTTGAAAAAGAAATTTTCTGTGAGCAAAGATCAGTGCTGATGTAATTTACCATTGGGGAAAATAAAAATAGAATACTGGGAGGAGGTTGACCTTAATCTCTGCATCTGCCTGAGCCACTTTGGAGCTCTGTGGCAGTTGTAGTTCCAGATCCTTTCTACTTCCGTTCTCCTTTATGGGCCTTGTCCCTTGCAGGACTACATTTCCCAGGGTGTACCATGGTCTGTCTCTGTGCTGTTTCATTTTATGTGGATAGTACAAGACAAAACATTTCAATTCAAGAATGCTAGAACATTGTTTCAGTAGAACATGTCCAAAAGTAAACCCTTTAATAATACCTATTTCATTTTTTTCTGGACTTTTCCATATTTTGACTTTTCATCTCAGTTTGGGCTGAAAATAAATGTTGAATTCTCAGGATTTCCTGTGGGATGGAAATTCCATTTTTGATCAGCTCTCATCCAAAGCCCCCTTGGAGTAAGAATGGAGGTTGCAGCAGCTCTTGTCAGCAAGACAGCTGGCTGCTGAGCAAGATCACAACCTAGGTGTAACTTTCACATAGGAGAGGGGAGACAGAGTCCTGAAAAGCAAATTAATGTGGACATAACACTTACCCAAAGGCATAAACTGTGCTGGAATTGTAATATGGATCCAAGTCCGTGACACGAATGAGTTCTCTTAGCTGTAACAAGAATGCTATCTGATAACTACCCAGCAACAATACAACAGCAGACTTCCCTTGGGACCCGCCCAGTGCTCCATCCCTCTCTGCTTGAAGTATAATCCACCTCAGATTCCATTTGCAGAAGCACCCAGGACCCATTCCCCCACGCACAGAACTGCCTCAGTCCTGACCCCACATAAGAAACCATCCTCACCATCTTCTGTAGCTTTGCTGACTCAGTCCAGAAGGCTCTGGATTCTGGCCGTCCAAGATCCAGGGAGTACTGATAATTGAGGATCCGGAGGCTGCCTGAGTAGAACTGCAGAACAGTTGATTCCAAGTGCCGTGGTCTGTAGTCTGACAACAAAAGACAGACAGATTAACCACGGGCGTGGAGAACAGAGGGCTCTTTGGGGGAAGGAACTTAGCTAGCATCTACATTGGCTTCCTCGTTACTAGGCCAGGTCAGCATTAGCATAAAGAACAAAACGCCTTATAATTGTTACCTAGGAAATACCAACTCAGTGCTCCAGCTCCAGCCAACAAAACAAGGACCATCCAGAGGGGTGCATAGCGCAGGCAGTCACGAGCCTTCCTCTTGGTTTCATCCTCAGATGGGGTGTTTGCATCTTCCTGTTGCTCCTCAGCCTCCATCATGGGCATCTAGTCCAGCAGCAGACCAGGCATCAGGCTGGATTCTCAGTACATCCCTCACTCCCTTCCTGTGTACCCTTTGCCATCCATATCTTCTTATCTGTACCTCTCCTTATTATCCATGCCAGATCCCAAGGACCTTGCTATTGCTTTCACACACAAAACTCTGTTGAAATCCCATGGGAGTTTATTCAGTTATTTACTTAGGCAGAAGCAGAGTGAAACCTTTAGGATCATGCCCTAACCACCCTTCTGTTAGCTCTCTGCCTCTACTGTCTGTACATCCTAACTTTTCAGTGTGTTCCCCAGCATGCCCATGTTTCCTCCCCAAAGGTCACTGAATGCAATCAGCAATGCAGACCACTGAGCTCCAAGAATATGCAGGGTAACAGCTGTCAAATGCTGCATACCCCACTGTACATAAGAACGGCCGTACTGGGTCAGACCAAAGGTCCATCTAGCCCAGTAGCCTGTCTGCTGACAGTGGCCAACACCAGGTGGTCTGTAAGGTACCTTGTGTCTACCCTACCTCACCCCACTTCCCTCTGGCATATATTAGCACCCCGCAAGGTAATTCAGTTCTCTACCTGCCACATGGCCATCTTTACTGCTCCTCTCACAACACCTGATTGTCCGACTTATTCCTGCCTACTCCCTTTCTATGATTCTCTGCTAAGTACCACAGCCTGCCAAGACTGGATGCTCCTGGGCCGCTTTCCCTCTGCAGCCCCTTATTAGGCCTGTTAAAATCTTATCACCCATAACCTTTCAACATTCTAGCAGAGGCCAAAGGATTTGCATATTTCCTTCACTGATGAGTGAGGTATGAGCATGCATGAATGTGAATGTGTGGGAGTGTGCAGGGGGGTTAGAGAGCGCCTGAGTGTGTATGAGCGTGTTCCAAAGCGTATTTCCAGGGTGCTCTGTCTGCGCATGCATTGGTTAGTGAGTTATGTGCATCGCATGGGCCTGTGCCGGTCTGTGCTATGGTGCAGGGATGAGGGGTGCATGTTAGAGGAGGTCCCTAGGGGGCTGAAGCATATGGAGGCACATGAATAAGCACACATGGAAGTTTGTATTAACGTGTGTGTGTGTGTGTGTGTGTGTGTGTGTGTGTGTGTGTGTGTGTGTGTGTGAACAACAAAGGGCAGCCAGCATTCCCTACTCACTCCGATACCAACCCCTCCCAATCCACAACTTTGCCCCTCAATACAGACACATGTAAAGAGTGTTTAAGAAGAAAAAGCAATTCAATGGAAAACATTTAACTTAACAAGAGCTGGCACAGAGACAACAATGAATCCATGAACACCTCCACTTCCTGTCTCCTACAGGCCTCTCACATGCGGCAGAGATCCGAATACACCAACCCTTGCTCTTCTGCTTCGCTGTGGTCTCCTTTTGGCTAATGTTTTCCAGTGGGTATCCCCCACCCAGGAGGGGGGCAGGAGGAAGGAGTGAGGGCCTTTACTCCACCTTCAAAGGAGTCCTCCAAAACAACAGCCGCACCAAGAACCACAAACTGATCAAAAAGAGCCTCAATTTGCTAGCAGATCAATTCTAGGCACTGGGGTTTCCCCAGAGCTACAGACCTACCTTTGAAACCTGCAGCTGTGCATGTGGCTGGGCACGCACACATTGGTAGAGACGTGTTTACTCAAGCCCAAGGCCTCTCTGGCAATCAATAAGCTGAGGCCATGTCCCTTTGTTTTGGTCTTTGCCCTGTCCGGCCCAACAGAGGGCTGAGCATGCCCCGGAGAGCCACAGCTTTCTCTAATGGAGGCTGACTCTGAGTGAAGGGAGGTTTGCTAACAGACTGGATCTAAAGGCAGTGAAGAGATGATGCTGTAAACAGCCCAGGGTAACAATCCTCCTGCCCCTTGGGAAGCCTAACGTGGAAGGCAAGTGCAGCTGGATCACAGATTCCCCTGGGAGGCAACAAGTTGCACAGCAACTGCTTTCTGTCTTAGTTACCTCCATTGGTCCCAGTGGCAATAAAGGCAAAATGGCACCGGCTGTTCCGAGGTGATAGAAATGTAGCCGTGTTAGTCTGGTGTAGCTGAAGCAAAAAACAGGACGATGTAGCACTTGAAAGACTAACAAGATGGTTTATTAGGTGAGGAGCTTTCGTGGGCCAGACCCACTTCCTCAGATCAAATAATGGAAGAAAATTGGCACCACCATATATACCAAAGGATACAATTTAAAAAAATGAACACACATGAAAAGGACAAATCACATTTCAGAACAGAAGGATGATGGGGAGGGGAGGTAAATGTCTGTGAGCTAATGATATTAGTGGTGATAATTGGGGAAGCTATCTTTGTAAAGGGTAAGATAATTAATGTCTTTGTTTAGACCGAGGTGTAAAGTGTCGAATTTAAGCATGAATGACAGTTCAGAGGATTCTCTTACAAGTCTGGTGTTAAAAGATCTTTGAAGCAGGATGCAGGTAATCAAATCATTGAGACAATCCCTTTCTGGTTGAAATGGCAAGAAACTGTTTTTTCTTTGTGATCCTGTCTAATATCTGTTTTGTGGGCATTGATTCTTTGGCGAAGTGTCTGAGATGTTTGTCCAATGTACCTAGCAGACGGACACTTTTGGCACATGATAGCATAAATTATATTTCTGGATGCGCAGGAATATGTGTTCTTGATCTTATAACTCACTTGGTTAGGTCCAATAATGGTATCAGCAGAGTGAATGTGTGGACAAAGCTGGCAACGGGGTTTGTTGCAAGGGAAGGTTCCAGGGTTGGTATTAGTGTGGTATGTCCTGTGGTTGTTGGTAAGAATCATTTTGAGCTTAGGTGGCTGTCTATAGGGGTATGTCTACACTACCCCGCTAGTTCGAACTAATGTAGATAATGTAGTCATCCGCAGTTGCAAATGAAGCCCGGGATTTGAATTTCCTGGGCTTCATTTGCATGAAGCTGGCCGGCGCCATTTTTAAATGCCGGCTAGTTTGAACCCAGTGCCGCGCGGCTAGACGCGGCACGGACTAGCTAGTTCGGTAGTGTAGACATACCCTAGGAGACTATGGGTCTGTCTCCCAGAGCCTCTTGGAGTATAGTATCCTGTTCCAGTATAGGTTGTAGTTTACTGATAATGTGTTGGACAGGTTTAAGTTGGGGGCTGTAGGTGATGACAAGTGGTGTTCTATTGTTGGTTTTCTTGGGTCTGTCTTGAAGTAGATGGTTTCTAGGTATTCGTCTGGGTCTTTCGATTTGTTTTTTATTTCTCCGGATGGGTAGTTTAGGTTTATAAATGCTTGGGTAGAGATCCTGAAGTTTCTGGTCTGTCAGTGGGATTAGAGCAGATGCAGTTGTATCGAAGGGCTTGGCTATTTACCTCCCTCCCCCTCCCCCTTCTGTTCTGAAATTTGATGTGTCCTTTTCATATGTGTTCATTTTTTTTATTGTATCCTTTGGTATATATGGTTGTGCCAATTTTCTTCCACTATTTGATCTGAGGAAGGTGGGTCTGGCCCACGAAAGCTCATCACCTAATAAAACATCTTGTTAGTCTTTAAAGTGCTACATAGTCCTGTTTTTTGTTCTGAGGTGGTGAGGGAGAGGAGTCTCTTGCTGGGGCAGTGGGCTGGACAAAGGAGAGACAAAAAACAAAGTCTCAGAGAGGCAGCCGTGTTAGTCTGTAGCTGCAAAAACAACCAGGAGTCCTGTGGCACTCAAGGCTATGTCTACACCTCATGCTTATTTAGAAATAACTCACATTATTTCAAAATAACAGAGTGCACATCTACACCGCAAGCCCTTTATTTCAAAATAATTTCAAAATAACGGGCTTCTTACTCCGACTTTTGTAACGCTCATTTCACAAGGAAGTCGAAGGAAGAGTATTCTTCCTTCAACCTCCTGCTGTGTAGACAACAGCAAAAGCTGAGTTAAGATATTTTGACTTCAGCTACACAATTAACGTAGCTGATGTTGCATATCTTAACTCTAGCCCACAGTGCAGATGTACCCTTGGAGACTAACATATTTATTAGGGCATACACTTTCATGAGTAAAAGGCTATTTCATCAGATGAATTGGAGTGGAAATGATGACAGAGGAGGTAATTTTGTTGAAACTACCACAAAAGAAAGGAATTACTTATCAAGTGATAAGGAGGCTAATCAAATCAGGGTGGAGGTGTCTCTTTCACTGATAGGGAGATGTGAATATCAAGAGTGGGGAAGTGGCCTTTGTAATGTGTTAACCAATTGAGATCTTTATTCAGGCCTAACTGGATTGTATTGAATTTGCAAATGAATTGCAGCTCAGCTGTTTCCCTTTGTAATATAATTTAGTTTTGAAGTGTTTTTGTAGAAGGATGCTACTTTTAAACCCAATACTGAATGTCCGGGGAGATTAAAATGTTCTTTACAGGTTTATGTAGGTGGCAGGGGCTAGCACTATCCAAACCATTAGCACTGGTAATAACTACGCAAAGCTTTATCAGTGTCTCTCACATGACTTGACCCCCAGTGTCTTTTAACTATTGTGGAAGAAAACATTGTCCCCACTCTGAGTTTGTAAGCAACAAGTAGCCAGAGGCAGTTTTATTACGAGCTGCAGCAAGGGAAAAACTGGTTCGGACAGGGGGGAAGTCCCTCCCCCCCCTCACCGAGGCAGATCTTCGAATACAAGCAATTATGAAGCAGTTTATATACTGTCTATTAAATATAATAACAATAACAATTAGTCTCCTTCCCATTACAAACACCAATGGCTAACAGTTATTTAGTTCCACCCAGATGCTCCTTATCTTAAGGTCCCTACCAGAGTCAGCATTCTATCCTTATCTCCGTATGGAGGCGAGAGGCGAAGGCAGCGTCTAATTACAGATCTCGCCTTGTCAGGCCACAGACTTAGCCTGACTCTTGCTCTCTTGTTAACAAGACCAAGATGGCTGCACACAAATTCTCTTATTCCCTTTTCCTGCCTCCACAATCCCCCCTTTTGTGCTTACAGCACAACTACCTTTCTAAACCTTTATTTTCATTAAACATTACATAATTAG